AGACATTTTATCATGCCTTGGCGGCGCCATTATTTATTATTTTTAAGTTCAACCATCATTCAATTAGCCAAAATATATTTATTTTTAGTATTTTTATTTATTATTTTAGAACTTTATTTGTGCAACAAAAAAAATTAATTTATTTTTAATGAAATAGGCGTGGCGCCACGTCCTCGATACTTCTTTTAGATTTATTGATAGTGAGTTTCACATGACATGTTGGCATCTTTCGGTTATCAATGGACTCGATTCATTATTATTTTTAACGATAATAAATATAATATAATCAGATAGATTTGAAATTGAAATTTAAAAGGTAATGTAAAGATATATATGTCAATGTTGATGATAGAGGTAAAGCCAAAATCTTCATTAAGAAAATTTAAAATTTATAGAAATAAATACATAAAGTAATTGAAAGAAATTAAAATTACTATATACACATAAAAAATTATTTTAATTATATATAAATAATATAATTTTTTATCAAAAAGTATTCACATATATCTGGTTGATGAAGCCCATGGGATAATATATTAGCAAGAAAAAAATAGTAGAACATGAGAGCGCCGACTTTCACATGTCAATTTCATGTGAAAATTTTGTTCTAAGGTTAGTTGTACCAATTTCTTTATATTCAATATTTATTTCATTCTTATTATTTTGGTAAAGTGATTAAGTCATTTCATTCGTTCCGAAAGATTGTGATGAAGTGATTAAGTTTTTTTTTAAATTTTAAACAAGAATTTTTAAATTTAAATTTTAAATATAAAATTATTTTTGATAGAGAGCGTGTTTATGCATAAAATGAACCTTCTAATTAATATAAATTTAAATTTATCAAATTTTTTAAATAAATATCTCATACCATAAAGATCAGGTCATGTATTATGAATAAGATTATTTATTAAAAAAATAAAATATTTTCCTTGAAATAGTCATTTAATGCCTATTATTATTACTCGTAAACGTACTCATTACTATTTGATTAATATTTAAAACAATTCGTATACTACTGTTCACAACATATAATACATACATACATACTTATCAAAAACTTATTACGGGAATCTTATTTTTTAGAACGAGGTAAAGGCATAGGCATTATTGGGAGAGACGAGACATTAAATTGGGTTTTATCGGGATCAATGCTACGAGTTTTCGGAATAAAATGGGATGAGTGTTACGACAAATTTGATTGATAGGTTCAATGGCACAAGAAGGGGATTCATTAGCTCGTTATTTAGTATGAATCGATAAAATGTCAAAATTCATAATGATTATTCAACATGCTCTAGAAAGAATTCTAGGAGAGCCTTGCAAAAATTTAGAAATGCAACATTTTGACGGATTAAAAAATCCTCAATGAAATGATTTTGAATATCGATTTATTAGTAAAAAGCCTTCTTCAACTTTTGAATATCTTGTATGTTCTCAATTAATGTAATACTATTTAAATTTAATTAAGATTTTAAAAAATATATAATTTAAAATAACATTAGATGTTATATGGATACATATAATTTCATTAAAAGAATTTCAAAGCGAAATAATTTCTAATCATAGAAAAATGATATTATTTTTATACCGGCTAAAAGAAAATATTAGAAAATTATGATTAGTATTTCTTCTGTTTCAAAAAGAATAACTTAGTTTAACTTGACATAAAATTTAATAAAATAAAAAAGATTTTTTAATTTTATCATCCTAAATTAAAATTATGTTAAATATATCAAAACAACCTTTAATTTTATGATCTTAAATATGTCATATAAAAAATTATTTTTAAAAAAATAGACTTAAAAAAGATAATCATGTGATAAGGCCCCTAGTTAGATTAGGGTTTAAAGCAATTAATTAACTTCAATTTGCTGGTGCTGAGCTGGGGATGACTTTGATAACATCATCAACGGTGTCATAGCTCATAAATTTCATTCTCACTTATAATTTATATTATATACTACTTTCTTCATCTCAAAAATATATTTTTTGTATTTATTTTTGAGAGTCTAAATTATATAAATATTGAATAATAATATATTTGAATATGTATGTTTTAATCATAAAATTAATACAATTTATAATATTTTTCATATAAATTTTTTAATATTTCAATTAACTTTTGAAAAATAAAATGAGATAAGAATTTTAAAACGTTTGAGTGATTAAATAAATAAATAAATAAATATCCTATTCTTGCGTCGAGTCGTATCACACAAAGTTGCCTCTTTAATTTGTTCCGTTTGAAGAATAGTGGCTTGAAGAGTCAATGTTTGAAAATAAAATATTGATTGTAGTGTCCTTTTTGCCCCTTCAAATTAAAAGAATGTAAGATACGTACTAAAAAAAGATTTCTTACTTTACATGACGTATCAATCGGATACATTAATTTATAATGTATCGATTAGGTACATTACTTTATGAGATTTATCGATCGTATAATTTATGTTATGCGATATATCGAGACATTGAGTGATATATATATATATATCCAAAATGTTGAGGTATATATTCAAAACAATGACGTAATCATCGAGATATTTTAGGATGTATTTGAATTCTATTAAATTTAAGAGATTTTTATTATTTGAAAAAGAATAGAGATAGGATGTAATTAATTCAATGCTATGAAATTTGTGTAAAATATACTACTCCCTCTGTCCCTTTTTTACTTGTCCACTTTTGATTGACACACCTATTAAGAAAATATTTAATAACGTAATGAGTTTACCGTTTTACCTTTATTAATTATGAAGTAGATGAAAAATTTTACATTTTTCAAAGTAAATTAGTCATTTAATTGAGTATAATAGGTAAAAAAAATATTCTTTCTTGATTTATCAAAATAGAAAAATAATTAAGGAGAACTATAAAAAGAAAAATGAATAAATAATTAAAAACGGAAGATAGTATTAAAAATGGAAAAGATGCAATCATGTCCTAGACTCCTCGTACTAAATGAAATTGAGCAAATTAGCTTTCTATTATGACAAAACTCAGTTGTCCAATATTTGCCTCAAATATGCTTTTATCTCAGAGGAACTTTCGCATAATCCAATTAAAAATAACTTAATTATTTTTATCACTATAGTTTAATATAATTACAATTCATAGTTACATGTTATAGAAAAGAGAGAAGTGAATCAGACTGAGAGAGAGGAGAGAGGTGAATCAGACTGGCACTAACCAAATACTATAATATCAGTATAGTCTCTTCCAATTTTTAAAATTATTTTTCTTTTCAACTTCAATTTTCTGCATTTTTTCTTTTTAGGTTCTCCACTATTTAAAGATTCAAACATATTGATGCTTATTTTTTTGGAAAAAACAAACGTCAAATATATATATCCAACCTTGTCATATAAAATATTGAATTATGTTCCATCTTTTGACTTTTCCTTTTAATTTTTTTTAATTTGTATAATCGATAAGTCATGTATTTGAATTGTAGAATTACATATCCCTCCGTTAGACAATGCCTACCTACATCATTTAATCCTTGAGGCAATTTTTTTTAAGCTGAATATAAAATATTTCGTGTATCAATTTATAATTTTTTAATAACGTTTTTTATTTCCTCATTCTTATATTATTAATCGTCTTGTGTTGTTTTTATTTAAAACTACAATATTTTTAAATACTAAAAAGCTATACTAACAATGTTATAAGTTATAATTTTTCTTATATCAATTTTAGATATTCAGTGAGAATTATATCTTTAAATATTGTCTTTCGAAAAGTATTGTTTTTTGTTTTCTCAAATGTTAAAGTTTCTAAATATTAATATTCCATGAAACAAAAAGAGGAAATAAAAATGAGGCCCACATGAATATCCCCAATGTCATAAAGTGCGATTTCTACGTGGGAAATTAATGGATAAATCGAAGATACTAAAGTGTGTTTTGTCTGCTAACCCTAATGTTAGTTAATTAATTAGTATTTTAATAGTAATAATTAAATGCAGGTGTCGTTATTTTCTGTTTGACTAATCAAAGGAATAATATAACATGTCAGAAATGATAACGTTTGTCTCTTTATACTATAGTTTAACACCGACCAACATATGACGTTATAACAAAACACAAATGATGACTAGATTGAGTTCTTTGTTTATTAACATTGAAATAATGGCCTCTCATTGGTACCAAGGGTTATTGATTTGCGGCGAATTCAAAATTTTCATCGATCGAATATATTTAAGAGATTCAATTATATCTAAGAAAATAATTTACCTCATATACAGTGTAATTTTTAATTAAAGACTTTCAGGAGAATACGAGCAGACCTACATATTAGATTGTGAATGCTCGAACGCTCATTGATGATCCGAATGTAAATTGTATATATGGGTATACATAAATATTAAGAAAATGGATATAAAGAGCTAGTAAGCAGTCTAAGCACCCACAACATATATCATGTTGAGGTGTCACCATAACAAAAATAACTTTTAGCGGCACTAAATATTGATACTAATGAAGAGTGCTAAAGTCTTTATCGACATTAGTTAAGTATCATTAGAACCAATGTCACTAAAGGCTTTAGGGACATATACAAAGATTGATAATTGTCGCAAAAATACATATTTCGCGGCAATTAAGAATTAAATACCGCTAATAATCATTTTTATTATAGTGTACATTGACAAAGTATGGATGCAAACGAGGGATCAATATGTTCCTTCTGTTCCTATTTACTTGTTCATTTCTTTTTCAATACATCGTAGAAAAGAAAATCTATTGTATGTTAAAATTATTGAGTCAGGCTTTTATCTTCCATGGTAGTGGAAGGTTTAGCATTGGCTACTAATCAACTATCTTTAACTAACAAAAAGCATAAAGCAAGAGACATAAACCTAACCTTCGATCCTAAGGATGGTAATACTAGTCAACTATCTTGCTAAAGATATTTAATTAGTCAAATAAAAGAACTAGTGGGGTGAATTAATAGGAAAATTAATATCATAATAGGAGGACTTTTGCTATTTACAATTGGTTATATAAAAGTAAACTATGGAGACTTCCTTTTACATCACAAAAAAAGATATACTTCTAGTTAAGGTACATAAAAAAAATGTACATATGAAGTATTCTTCTATTGCCATGGGCAAGACTTTGGAGTACTATGAAGGTTATTCATTAAAACTATAACATGTTTTTTTTTAGAATGTAAGTTGTCCAAAGAAAAAAAAAAAACTCCTCATACCGACAGAATGTTCCGCTATTATCACTTGAAAAAGCAGCTTTTAAGGTCTAATCGTTTTGGTGAATCACTTGAACTCTAAAACCAGTAGAAATTCATCTTCATAAACGAGGGAGTGTGGAAAGTCAATAGTTCAAGTGACTAATGTTAGTCAATAGTTCAAGTGACTAATATGGATTACAGAAGACCATGACTCCTTTGTCCTCTCGCATCGGAGCCTGACTAATATGATTCGCGCTGCGTAGAGCCCATTTGAGAGGGAAGTGCTCCCTACCAAGGATTTTCCTATATCCAAAGCTTGAACCCGAGATCTCTGGTTAAGGGGCAGCAGACTCATCCATTGCACCACATTCCTTAATGGTCAAAAGCCCAGGACTCCATTGTTCACTTATGGTAGACTTCTTTAGATCTCACCTGTTTCCTCTGTTTTTGTTTGTGATTAGTTTAGACCAATTTGTAATTGATGATTTCTTAGTCATTCCTGCTCGGAGAGGTCGATCTCTGTAAGCTATTCAACCTTCAGTAGGAAAAAACTAAAATCAGATTTGTATAAAGGTAAGTACATGAAAAGATCTTCCAATATTCTACTTAAGAACATCGATTTAATGTTGAATTCTGCATCAGTAATAATCGAGGAACTAACTCATACCTTGATAATCAATCGACCTTGTAACCTGTTGAGGCAACATCATGCTACCGAGACACCAGTATCCTGTTTGTTCATATGTTGCTGGGAGAAAACAATAAATCAGCTCCATCAAGCAACATGATCATTACTTAGAATTCAGTCGTAGTATGGATCACCCATATATTTTACGAAGCAAGAGCGACAGTATTGTCTATGCTTCTCTTTTTCTTGCAGCCTTCCAAAAAAATGCGCCATATTAGAGCATTTGGAGGGAAAGGCATCCCAGTGATTAACTGCTCGGCTTCTGTCAGATAGCCATACCTAGCCAACAAGTCTACTGCAATAAGATAGTGATCCATCTCTGGTTCTACCCCATACTTTCCTTTCATCTGTTCAAACAATTCCATCCCCTCTTTCACTAATCCAACGTGCCTACATGCTGAAAGCACAGCTATGAAAGCAACCTTATCAGGTTTAATCCCGGTCATATCCATCTCCTTGAATTTCTCTAATGCCTCGTGTGCATAACCGTGTAGTCCAAGGGCTGAAACAATGGTTGTCCCTGTGATCACATTTTTATCTGTCATTTCATTGAAAATCTTGATCGAACTGGCAAGACTCCCACATTTGCCATACATGTCAATCATGATATTGCAGACAAATGTGTCACAACGCTTAAAATCAGTCTTTATAATGAGGCCATGAAGTGAGCTACCTAGACCAAGGTTACAAAGCTTGGTGCACGCACTAAACAGGCTAACATATGTGTATCTATCAGGAGATAATCTAGCCATCCGCATGTGTCCAAGAAGTTCAAAAACTTCTGTGTAATCACCATTTCGAGAACAGGCTGCAATCAAAATATTCCAAGATACAGTATCTGGATTTTCAAGGTCAGAAAACAACTCTTGAGTCTTGTCGAATTGACCATTTCTGTTATAAATATGTGCGATCATATTGGAAGCAAAAGCAGGAAGTGGCATTTCATTGGTAGGGACAAACCTTAGGGCATTATCAACTGAACTAGATTTTGCATATGAAGAAATGAAACTGCTAGAGACATAATCATTATCAATGTAACCCATTTTTATGGATAAGGAATGTAGCTGAAGTACCTCTGATAGTCCTGAAGATTTCACTGCAATAGAAAAAGAAAACTCAGTTGGAACACAACCCGAGTGAATCATTTGTTGAAGCAGCGTAATAACATAAGAAGAACCTTTACTCGAGTAACCCAACATCAACGTATTCCAAGAAACCACATTTTTCTCCGATATTTCATCAAAGCAAACAAGAGCATCATCTAATCCATCACATTTAACATAAAAGTCAAGTAACGCACTACCAACATATACATCAGATTCAAACTTTTTCTGCATCACTTTCGCATGGATGGACTCCCCAAGCAATCGAAACTGCTGGCTAGTGCAGCAACTTAGTGCACTCACATAACTCGTATCATTAGGCAATACGCCACTTACAGACATCTTCCTAAAAACAACCAATGCCCTATCCGCTCTTCCAATCTTCGCCATTGCACCAACCATTGTATTCCAGGACACAACATCCTTAACAGGAGCATCCTCAAACATTTTCTCCGCCTTATGAATGTCAGAGCATTTCGCATACATGTTAATCAATGAATTATTCACTGAAACAGAAAAATCCAGTCCATCTTTCACTACCAACCCATGTACTAGTTCCCCTAATATTAAATCAAGTTCCCCAACAAAACCAACTAATATGCCCACGAAAGTACTCTCAGAAGGAGCCATTCCACTCCTTAACAACCTCCTTAACACCATCATTGACTCCTCAACACATTCATACAGCCCAAACAACGATATCATACAATTCAAAGTCACCAAATTCCTTTTAGGCATTTCGTCGAAAACCTGCATAGCTTCATCTAACCATCCTTTCCTTCCAAATAAACCCAATAATGCAGTCCCTGTTACAGCATCAACGAGAAAAAGCCCCAATTTTTCAGCCAACGCTTGCAACTGAAATCCTTGAATAACATCCAAACACTCACAACCCAAAACCCCACCAAAACTAAACTGAGTCGGCACAAATCCACAACCCCTCATCTCAGAAAACAACTTCCAAGCCTCTAATAAACTTCCGTTTCGACTATAACCACTAATCATTGTATTATATGACGCAACATTTCTTTTCGACATATTATCAAACACCTTGCGTGCAATGCAGATATCACCGAATATTGAATACCTGAACATGATAGTGTTATTCGCCAAAAAGGGTTGAGTTGGGTCTTGCCCAATTGTGATTGTGAGTGCATGAAGAGCCTTAGTTTCATCCAGAGATTGAATCCAATTTGGTTCTTGAAGTAACTGAATGAGCCTTTGGGGCTTGATATTATCTCCATTATTAGAGAAATATTTAGAAAACTTTGAAATTCTTGACAGTGAAGTAGTGTTCCTCATACACTTTGATTCGAGAAAGGAACGAATCACAAGAATCTATTATATTTACCAACTTTATAAATTTTGTATTCGAAAATAACAAATATCATTGATTTAAATAAAAGATAGAGATTAAAAACACTTCATATATATATAACATACAAAGCGAATCTAAAATTTTTGAAATACGAATACATATTCATTATTGAATATCATACTATGGTCTTTTAATTCTTGATATATTAATATTAGTACTACTTATGAAGAAAACAAGTGAAAATGCAAGTATTAGAACCATATGATATCAAAGTTCTTATTTTCCCTTCAATGACAACAATTCATTTATGGATTAATGATGTTTGGGGTCAGGTCCTCCTGGACTTCGTCGCATTGGCTTGTATCTACTTTGTAATTTGCTTTTATATCTGTCGTAACAATGTATCTCGAAATTTTTTTTTCTCTCGAAATATATGAGAAATGATTCGGTTAAACTCTTTTTCTGCTCCGTAGAATGAACAATATTTGAATATTGCACCATAATATGCACAACTATTAGAAATACATAAAATTTTCCTAGGTACATTGTGTCCTAATTGATGATAAATGCTTAAAACATAGATGTAACCTAGTTTTCAACGTACATATATATAGAGAAAATTTGGCTTTCTTTTATATTAATATTTGGCCACTTGTTCAGAGTTTGTTGTTTGGAAAAGATTGAAGTATGACTTTTAATTTGTTGTCTTAACATTCCTTTGTGAGGCATCGAAGAGTCAACTTCTATTTGTCCTAACATAAAGTTATTTTTATAGGTCATAAAAGTTGTATATATTTAGTTTTGCAAGTGGTATGTGAAAATCAATTGATTTGTCAAATTCTACTTTTTTTTGGTCAGTGACAATTTTGTTTTTTTTTATGTGGACCAAATACGTGAAAATTCATTTTCATATGTCTAACAGGTGAGATTTAATCTCAAGAGTTTTGGATGCTATAATACCAAAATGAAAGAGATAAAGTGAAGGGTAAACCTACTAGCCTTGCTCATTCTATTCTTATATATGAGTATATAATATGATAATACTAACAAATTCAGTCTTTAGATATTCTTGATATAGTGTGATACTCCGACTCTCTGCATGATTTCCTTAAAAAAGGCTCACTTTCATACAATTAGGGGTAACCAAACAATTACTCACATGTAGTTTTCTTATTTTTTTAACTATCAATATAAAACTTTGTTTGCATCACCCAATAATCTCCTTCTCGCAGTAAGTTTAACATGACTCATCACCCAATCCACATATTTAATCCGAGATTGTTGTATTCCACCTACATGACCGAGCATTTTAGGCTCCGTCGAAACTCAGAGCTAGCTAGCTTCTTCCTGTGTGTGCGCACCCATCTTCAAGCTACTCTAAAGGTATATAGTAAACCAAATCTCATACTATCACTTCACCATTTTCATAATTGTCTAGTCGAATCTGACTCTAAAAAGCAATTATTCGGCTAAGTCAGTTTAAAAATACTTTTAATATAGTGTGATTTGACACTTGTTCGAATATCCAACCAAAAAAAATATTCTCTTTTTTATGTTTCATTCTCATAATTTATATTATTTTAGTCACGCTCCACTAAAGATAATATACTTTTCGAAGCTAGGTCATATACACATGTCAAAACAAGATTCTCGTATCTAGTTAATTACTTATTTTTAATCAAATACAAAAACTCATTAAACACTTTCGATAAAGTCATATTGAAAAGTTGCAAACACAATTTACAAAATATAGGTGCATGATCTCGTTTACTGGCCAAGAGAGATTGTATATTGCTCTTGTTTTGGTTTATTTATTGTTTTGGGCTTATTAATTAGGTTAATGGGATGTCAAAAATGCACTACTCACTAGCACTAACTTCGAAATATATAGGTAAATGTAACAATCAATATGAAGTCAATGAAGAAGCAAAAGCTAAGTGGGTCCCTTTTCATGCTAAATAAAATTGATGAAATGATTGAGATTTTTTTACTTACTAATATACACAAAATATTTAGGAAGCAGTATCGATATTCATAGAAGGAAACATAAAAGTTTAATTATCATACATATAAGTAGATTATATCCTTGACTCATTGATTTAGATTAATTTTAAGTTTTCTAATTGGATTTGAACCTCCAACCTCAAACAACAAAATCAGTCGGCAAATATATGCTTACTAAAAATTTTGAAGGAAGGAGTGTCGCTGAGTTTTTAATCGTTTTTTTTATGTATGAAATTACGGATATATAGTGAATGGACGAGCTCCTTCAACTTCGAAGCAACTACCTTTGTACTTCCCAACATAGTGAGTAGGAAAAAGAAAGAGATTAAATAACTGTAGATCAGATTCAGATCTAACCAGCAAGGCATAGGGTCTTGGACACTTAACCAAGCTCTGGATGAGCGATATCTATCTTTACCTTATTCTGTTCTCCTTAGCCTCCGGTTTGGGCGAAGTAATGCAAGGAGTCGGTGCAATTAGATAGTTAGAGTTAGTAGTTCCTTCAACAATTCTAAAAAGAGGAGTTGCTCCCTTCACTCAACGTGGGAAAGTGGGTTCGCCCTGCCTTCGCACATCTCAAATCAAATACTACCTCCGTTAATTTTTAATTGTTATAGTTTTTTTATAATATATTTTTTCATCGTATAAAAATAAGTAATTTATAATATTTTTCATATCGTTTTTAAATATCTAAATTTTTTATTTAAAATATCAAATTAATATAATTTAATTTAACATGAAAAATTAGTCAAATAACTTTTGGAAAACTTGACAAATAAAAATGAACAAACTAGTATATCTTTTTCCATAGGGAATTTATTTAGTTGCTGCAATTGACAGAAAACATAGGGCAAAGAGTTAACATAGTTTCTTCTAAATTCTCCAAAAAAGAAAAACTATGTTTTTTTTTCAATTTCTACTTCACAATTGTATTAATATATTAATTTGAAAAAAAAATCAAACTATCTAAAATCTCTTCTAAGCATCTTCAAACAATGCTTCCTCTGCAATGAATCAACAATCTCATCAATTTCTTTTCGCTTTCGACAAACAATCTCTTGAGAAGAAACAGAATCAGATCTATGAAATCTCTCAAATGCAACTGAATTTGTGATATCTTTCAAAGCCCTCCTGAATTTTCTCTTGCGAAATTTCGACTTCGAAGAATTTGGGATCAATTTTTGTACAGAGAAAGGTGAGATATTCTCCTTATTATCAAAGGCCTCCATTTTTTTCAGATGAAAAAAAACAGAGTATTTGAAGAAGTAATTTATAGATATGATGGGATTTTGAAGAAGGAACAAAATTTTGGAGGGAAGGATTTGAAATTTGTTTATTTTTTTTATAATCTGTAAAATTTCAGGTGGGTGCTTAATTTTTTAAACAAGGGAGGGAAAAGTTTTTTTAAAATTTACTTTTTGGAACTTTCGTTTTTTCTTTTTTTTGTTTTGGGTAGAGAATCTAAAGATGTGACATAGACACAAGAATGTGGGGGATTTGAAATTTTTTTAAAAAAGTGAGCCTAAATTAAAAAAAAAATTGTTAAATTAAAATCATAGTTTCACCATCTCGTTTTTATCAGGATTATCGTGATAAATTATCGTGAGCTTGTAATAGTAGTATGATGATTAGTTATTGCAATCTAAAACAATGAAAATGATACAATTGATCGATTAGGTCTCGATCTAAATATACATTATTTTATTAATTATTAGGGATTACTCACGTGAAAGTAATAGGATCATTTTGACCTTAAAATCGAAATAGTGGACTATTTAGGCCTTTAATTATTAAGAGATAGTAAATTATTATATCGAAAGAAATTAAAAATTACACTTATTATATAACAAGGACCCTTAGCTTAGTGATAAAGTATTTGACCGCAAATCAAGAGATAATCAATTCGAACCTGATAAGACCCTTTTTTTACCACTTGTTGAGATTAGTCATTAAATAGTCTAATGTGAAAGACACAACTAAGTTAAAAATGAGAAGTTTTTGCCCTATAAACTTAGAGCAAGGAAAGAGTTAATTAAATAGTTATCTTATATGTTTATTTTGGTAAATTACATCAACAGAAATTCCTAAAAGTGAAATGTACTATAAATTAAAGTAGAACGGGGTCTAAGTTTAAAATGTATAAGTTATGAGAGAAGATTGAACAATTTATCTATGGGAAAAAGAATTTGAAAAATATTTTAATTTTGTTCAAAATTATTGTTACGATACCAAATTTTATGGAGAACATTTTTTACTCTTCTGTACTATTTAATAGTGTATTTTTAAGGTATATATATGTCCACGTAGACATATTACTATTTATAATAATGCAATATTTATGATATCCACGCAGAAAAAATAATATTATCTTCGACTCATTTTATATGAGAAAGAATTTCTTGAAATTTGTTGTCTAAAATAAATGATAGATGTTAGTGTGACTATAAATTATTTCATCAAAAATCAAAATAAAATTTAAGATTAAATAGTTACTTAATATAAAAATGTGTTATTATTTTTAAACCGATTAAAAAAAGTAAGTCATACAAATTGAAATAACGATAATACTTGTGCTAATAATGCAGAATTAGCAATATATATATATATATATATATATATATATATATATATATATATATATATATATATATATATAT